AACCAATACATTAAATATACTTATTAGTATTTTTTTACATAAAATATAAAAAATTATCTATTATGACACATTTTGTTTGTAATTTCAAACACTTCTTTTCTATCAATTAGGCTTATAAGTAGAAGTTATATATATATATAATATACTTAATCGGTTTAAATTACATAAAATTTAATAAGTTTAACTTATTTTATAAAAACCTTTAACTGAATAATTGAATTAATAAATATTACTTTTAATAATATATATATATATATATATATATATTAAATATATCATTTTAATAAGTTTGACACTTTGATACTCACTTGTATCCGTGTATATGTATGCATGCATTTGCATGTTAGAATGTTAAAATGCACATTTGTTCTATGTAATTGAAATTGATTTACAAAATAGCATACATATACAAATGTTACATTTTGGTCTAACACTGTTAAAAAATTGTTAACATAATTTTGTAATAGTAATTTTTATTAACAATCTTAAAATAACATGTATTACAATATAAGAAATTACTTATACAAAAATTAAAATATAAATTCATAACATAAAAAAATAATTTGTAAATAAGTATTAATTTTTAAATATATATTTTATAATGTCACTTCACTTGCATGTTTGAAAGTTCTCTCATTGGATATATTTTTAATATCTTATAGTTTATATTTATTTATATTATATAATTTATAAAATTATATAATTAATTTATTTATTAAAAAAATTTAAATAATTGTTAGAATAATAAATTTAACGTTGATAAAAAATAAACAATATGAATTCATCAAAAATTATTCGTAGAAATTAGAATAAGTGATCCATTTATTACATATATATCTTACTTTGATTTAATCACAATAATTTTAGTATATTCAGCTTCCCATCATATATAATTATAACTGGCTCTAAAGTATAAACATGAATTATTACACTTTATCATTTAAATAAAAAAACGTGTAAATCCAATCAATACAATTACATTAGTATAATAAAAAAATGGTGAAAAAAAAAGTATAGTATAATTTAAAAAAGAAATAAAATCACTATCGAACAAGTGCAATCCACACGCGTGCATTACACTTTCACATAAAAAAGCAACAGCATGATCGCTTCTGAAAACGGTGGTTAAAGGGACCCACTTGGGCGAAACGAAACTTGAAAAAGTTGGTTCCGACAAAAATGATTGGGTCGTGTATGCCACTCGAGGATGTTTAGCGTGTGGGATTGTGACAGAGGAAGTGAAGGAAGTTATTTGTCGCGGTCTGCACCCGGCAATCCAACGTTAAAAGCCGCTTTCTTGTCTCCCCAACACCCTTTCGCTTTGCCTTCTTTTGTTTTTTGTCTCCATCAACCTTTTTTTTAATTATTAAATATTTAAATTAAATCTATATACGTATTTTACACTCCTTCCAAAACCTACCTAACTTTTTTTATATATTTTTGTTTGTTTTTTTAACAATTAAAGATTCAATATACTCTCACTTTTTTTATTTTTATTAATTTACCATTTTTGTTCATTTGATCCTTTAGTTTTATTTTTTTAACAAATCTTTCATATATTTTTTTAAGCAGTTTTTTTAATTTTATCACCCACTTAAAGAAAATTAAATAAAAATTTTGTATTTATAAAAATTGAATATTTAAAAGACCAAATAAAAAATTATAATATTTAAAAGTATGAAATAAAAATGTAAAATTACATGACAAAAAATATTCCTTCAGTCTCATTTTATAAATATCACTTAGCATTAATATACACAGTTTTGTCAATATTATAGTAAAATAAATTTATTACATTAAAAATTTTATACTAGAAGTGGTAAAAATTATTACAATAGTTAATAGATAAAGATGATCCTTAATAAATAAGAGTATTGTTAAAAAAATATTTTTTAATATTTAAAAAAATTGAGATAATTAAAAATAACTAAATTATATCTAATATAAAAAGAGAGAATAAAATAAAAATATTGAAAATTAAGTAAAAATAAAATGATAAATACTCAAATTTTTTTAAAAAAGAAAATTTTAATTATTCTCAATTTTTATTTATTCCCCTAATTTTAGGAAAAAAAAAATCCATTGCACCACCCATAGATAGTTGTTTTTAAAATCTTGTGGCCTAATGTGTAATATTCAGTTCAACTCCATTTTACTACATCATTTAAAGAATGGAAAAATTTTCAGTCTTCCCTTACACATTCCTCCTTTTAAAATAGTAACATTTTCTATTCAATTTTTTTTAATTGGATATCCAAATTTCTTAGAAAAGGGAAATTTTGGTCTGTCCTTCCGAATTTGCCCCATGAGAATGAAGGGGTCCTATGGCAATGTCCTACCAATAACATGTGAAAGTAGTTGGTGGGATCCATATAGAAGCTACACATGTGACTGTGTGATGTATATTTGGTATTAAATTATCATTTTCTGTCTAATACTAAGGTGGTGGGTGTGGATGGAGAAGGGAATCTTGCCAATACAATAATAATAATAATAATAATAATAATAATGAAAATGGGTAATGAGTGGATTTGGTGAAATTGTTGATACAATTTTCAGTATTCGGCTCAGTATGCCATGTTTTTCTTTGTCTTCATGATCACAATGTTCCTCTCTTAGATGGACTCTTTTCCTTTTTAGTCATAGTATTGAGAAAGAAATGTGTAATACTACTTATTAAGGGCTGAACCAAAAAATCAAAATAGGTAGCATAATAAAATACAAGGTTATGGATAGCACCATCATTACATTGCATAGGACCTTTCTCAAAAGGTCCACACATATTTTTTTCAGGGGTAAAATTGTCATTTTGTGTTTATAATGCAACAAGAAATTGTCTTAAAATTGAAATTCTACGTAATTTTTCTGTTTAAATATAAATTTGAAAACATACTTAATTTTAACTCAAAACATTTAAATCTAAATTTCCATTCAAAATCAAAATACGCACAATTTTATATTATCAATGATTTTTTATTTTTTATATTACATGTTTTTTTAATAATAACACCTAAGTATATATAGTTTTTCTTATTTTTTTAAAATTAAAAACAAAAAGAACTAATTATATATAAAAAAATTAGTAAAATTAACTAATTATCAAGCGCCTAACTAAACATAGATAGGAGGAGGCATTGACTTGAGATTTTGGGCACGTCCTAGCTTATTAAAATGACAACTTTGCCACTAAAACAAATGTTCATTAGTGATAGTGGTGCATCTTTATCTCCGCAAAGGGAATGTGCTTCATTAGCTTATTCTTTATTTCGATATTTTTGTATTAGTAATTTTAAGAATATTTTATTTGATAAAATATTATTAAAACAAGATTTAAACAATGTTTTCTTAAACTAGTTTTTAGAAATTAATTAGGTTCAGAAAATTTCTAATATCCGTTTGATTTAAAATTAAATAAATTATTTTTAACCATTAAATGGAATGAAAACATGAATATAAATTAATTTAAACAGTATATTTTTAAAAGAAATGTGAAATTATTTTTTAAAATTATTTATGTTCAAATTGATAGATAACTTTAATTATATATTAAAAATAAGATGAAAAACCAGATTAATGTGTTATTACTTATTAATTGAAATGGAATGGAAATATGAATAAATAATGAGCATGGCATGGAGACACACATCATTTGAGATTCCGTGGTACTAATGTCCATAGTTTGGCAGAAAAAAGGTAAAAAATTAATATAAATGCTTTTTAAACATATTATCCCTTTTAAACTAATTGACAAATAAAGGTTTCTACCCCAAAATTCCAAAATTCGTAAATTATCATATTTGTCATTATGATATATATACTTTTTTATATTTTAATTTTATAAAATAGGGTTACCTCCAATAAAATATAATTGTGATTTTAAAAAAATTATCCGTGTCGTACCGTATCATCAATCCTTATATACAATTGTCAATATTTTTATTCATGTTATTTTAAGATTTATTAAAATAATCTTTAAATTAAATAAAATATTAGTTTAATTATTATTATTTTTAAATCATCAATTCTTATAGTCTTTTACATGTATAACTATTAATTATTTTAATTCATATCTTTACCTAATATTAGTTATCCTAAAAGATAAACTGACTTATAGGTTAACTATCAGCCGAATATGATACGTCAAGAGATAAATTAATTTAATTTTCATAAAAGCTTAAGTTTAGAGATTATTTGGATGATTAAATTAATAAATTTTGAAAAAATTAACTGAGTCATGATTTTATATATATGAAAGAATAAAATAATTGACATTCTCACGTTAATTTTAAAATTATTTTAAATTAATTATAAAATATTAAGAATGAAATAATTAATAATTGCATATTTCAAAAAGTGAAAAGATATTTATTTAGTTTAGAAATTATTGTTTTATCTATAAAAATAATTTTTATTTTTTCTCTATTTTTTATTTTCCTTGTATCTGTTTATTTTACTAATATATATATATATATATAGTTGTTTAATGAAGGTATCCGATCCGTCGATTCCACAAGAATGAAAAATGAACGGTGAATTGTCAATCACCAGAGAAGACAGGTATTTCAGGTGCATTTCCTCGTATTGTATTGTTCGGCGGAATTAATACATTCTTTAATAAATAAATAAAAAGAGTTTTATTAAAGAATATTTTAAAAATACATTTAATTAAGTTTCTGAATTTAAATAAATGTAATTTTTATTTGATTTTTAATTTCTGAATGATTTTTATAAAAAATTTCTTGCTATTTAAAAAATTTAAAATAATTATATTGAATAAAAATATGGATTTTTAAAAATTAAAATAATTAGTTAAAGGTTAAAAATATTGATAATAGTGTATTAAGCGTGGTGATAAGATGTATTAATAATACTTTTAATAAAAAAATTTTATTTTAAAATCTTTAATCAAAGATCTTACATGAAATAAAAATGGAATTTGCATAAAGAGCAGAGCAGTGTTTTTCTTACGGCTCTTTCTTTATTTTAAAGTCATATATTTTAATGCACGGTGTCAAGCTTTTGTTACTTTGTGACAAATGGAGGGTCCTTAGTTCTGTTTCTCTTTCTTCTCTTCCTCTGTTTCTCTTTCTTCTCTTCCCTTTCTGCTCTCTACTCACTCTTCTTCTTCACACTTCTGATCCATTGATTCTTCAGGTAAAACATTGTCAACTTTAGCTTCCATTTTTTGCTTTCACGTTTTTCTTTTCTCTTGTTATTGGTTTAACCAAGGATTGGGAATGCCCAAACCTGAAATCCTTTATTATGTTGCTTGTTTTTGCTTTAAAGGATCCAACCTTGCCATGCAGAATCTTTCCCCTTAATGGGTTGTAAAAAACTGATCAAACTTTCAGTCAATGTTTTCCCTTTTCAAAATTCTTTTAGGCCATTAAAACAAGTGTCAAGCTCTCTTTCTCTCACTGTGTGTGTGTGTGTGTCTATATATATATATATATATATATATATATATATATATATATATACTTTTTTCTGTTGATGGGTGATTGAAGGTGATTTAGTGAAAACTTTGGCTCATAGTTTCTTTTTTAACTTTGTATTTTGATTAAGACTTGTCCTGTGGTTTATTCTCTTTTGGTTCTTTTCTGAAAATTTGTCCTATTGCTACCCTTCTTCAAAGTAATTTTTCTTATATATTAGATATAAATATGTACCCATGATGATTGTGTTTTAGTTATTATTACGGTGTTTTTAATTAAATAATGTTATGTTGCTTCCAAGTACTTACTCTCAAAACTCTGCAACTAACTTTATGTTATCGAAGTGCTGCTAATTTGATGCTTGTTAGGCACAAAGAAAAGAAAAAAAAAAATTGAGATGAATGAATCAATTTGTTGAGTTTGTTTATATAAACCAACTTTGCTTGTGTATTACTTGTTTATACATCAGGTGCAAAGAAGGATCTATGACAGATGTTGTTATTTGTTATTGTTTGATAGGGTATTCAAAATTGGGAGTTTTTTGTTTGAATTGTGATGTCTCAGCCACTGCTAGACATAGGGGATGAGGAAGGTGAAAGCAATGTCACTTTGTTGGTTTCTTCTTCAGCCACCATGGAAAGTGTGTGCCTGAATGGTTCAAAATTGAAAGAGCGCAACTACATGGGGTTATCTGATTGTTCATCAGTGGACAGCTCCATCCCGTCCTTCTCAGATGAGAGTAAAAGTAATCTGAACCTTAAAGCAACTGAGCTCAGACTTGGGCTTCCAGGATCACAGTCTCCTGAACGCGATTCGGATCTTTGCTTTAGAAGTTCAACTCAATTTGATGAAAAGCCACTGTTTCCTTTGCATCCTGCAACCGATGATCATCATTCCTCCTCAAAGCCTGCTGTTTTGGGGAACAAAAGAGGATTCTCAGATGCCATGAATGGATTCTCAGAGGTAAATACTTTAAAATTTTTAGCTTGGGCCTAACTTAAACCCCTAAAGCTAGCTTTTTAGATGAGAATTGTTTTTGCCTTTGTAAGCTCTTATTTGGCTATATCTGTAGCCGATGTGACTCGTGAGACTTCAACAAATACTAATTCTATCAAAGGGGATCCCATATGTACTTTTTAAATGATGGATCAGGCACTAAAACTCTCCAATTAACCATGCAGGCGAAATTGCTTGTTAATTCTGAGGTCAGCACTAAATTGTCACCCAGGCCTTCTAATGTGGGGTTGAAACCGAGTTCTATGCTTGATAATGTTGGAACACAGCAAGCCAAAGCCAAAGAAATAGCAACAACAAATGTTGGTCTTGAGAGTCCTCATGCTGTCAATGAAAGCAGACCAAGTCTTAATGGTTCTGCTAATAATAACAGCAGTGCACCAGCTAGCAAGTAAGTGGATAGTGGGAATTGGCATAAAGTTTTGGCTTAAACCCTGGAAATGACCTCTGATGATGATCCTTGTGTGGCAGGGCACAGGTTGTTGGTTGGCCTCCTATAAGATCATTTAGGAAAAACTCATTGGCTACTACTTCAAAGAATGTTCAAGAAGTAGATGGAACAGCCAGGTCTGGTGTTCTCTTTGTGAAGGTCAGTATGGATGGGGCTCCATATTTAAGAAAAGTAGACCTGAAGAATTACTCTGCATATGCAGAACTATCTTCTGCTCTGGAAAAGATGTTCAGTTGTTTTACCATAGGTAGGAAAGAATTAGTTTTATTTGAATAAACACCTAGTTTTTCGATGATTTGCGGCTGGTTTGCCTGGATCCAGTTACTGCTTATATTGATCTGATTTCAGGTCAATGTGGATCTCATGGAAATCTTGGAAGGGAGATGCTGAATGAAACCAAGCTGAAGGATCTGCTTCATGGATCAGAAAATGTTCTTACATACCAGGATAAAGATGGTGACTGGATGCTCGTGGGTGATGTTCCCTGGGAGTAAGTTCTGTTTTATTTATGTAATAGCAAGGCCTTTATTGGCATTTTTTTTAAACTGTAATGGATTATCTGAAATTAGTAGCATCAAGTAATGTTGATAAATGGTAGTAAACTAGCATTTTGCATAGAAGATTGTACAAAGCCTTGGAAAGCATAGATAATGAATATAAACCTTAGTGCTTATCATCTGTGAGCACACAGAAATTATCCTTTTTATCTAAGAATGTATAACAATTAACACTAACATGCACTTGATGAAAACATGACATTGGCTGGGGAAATTTGAAGATGTATGATGTATCATATCCTTGTTATTTGGGCATCCATAATGATTTCTGTTAAATAAATGTAACCTGCTGAAAAAATATAAGGAGTGGCTAACAAAGTAACAAACTAAAGATCTTATGGAGTCAGTGGAGTAATATCAGAGATTTAAAATATACTAGGAGCATGGGTATATGAGGCACTATAAACCAAAGAAAAGGAAAAAAATAATTGATGAGTGTATACGGGATGGCTTGTTTAGTTTTGTAATCTTAAAAGATAAAAACAATTTTAGGTTGTAGAGTATTTATTCTTTGGGGATGATCGTCAGTTCATTAATAATATTCTAAAATAGAACTGTAATTTTCTGAATGCGTGACATTATTTTACCACTAGAGAACAAAATGTCTAATATAACTTCTTTTGGAGGGAGACCTCAGCAAGGCACTTTTATTTTCCATAGTGATAAATTATGTAATTCTCAGAGGTTTTGTTTTGGCTTGAAATTATTGGCCAAGGGTGCAATACTTGAATGCTTATAGCAGCCTTAAAGACGGGTTATTTTTTATTATGTGACATGCTGAAGTCATATTCCTATAAAAGAAAGGAAACAACTCATAAGTTTGTGAGTGGCTTGCTAAAGACATGTTTATAAAGTACTTGAATTTAAATCAACGGTAGATATACCTTTAGTTTCTTACTTTACACATTTTCTCACTTCAGAGGAAGTGGAACTAAATCCTTGACACTTAAAAAAGTTCTAGCTATCAATTAATCAAATGGTGCTGTACATTGAAAGAACTATTATTAATTACTATTATAGAGTTTCACATGAACACGGATTAAGTTTTAATACATTTTAGTATTGAATTTCAAAGACTAAGCTCTTATTTTCCCACTTTGAAATGTTTATGATCGTAGCTGAACACTGTTGTTTGATTGTTAATTCCAACCTAATATCCTTGATCTTTGCAGGATGTTTATTGATACATGCAGGAGGCTAAGGATCATGAAGAGCTCCGATGCCATTGGTCTAGGTTAGTATTCCATTAAACAACATCAATCTTAAAAGCTAAATAGTTGATGATCTGAAAAGGGTACTAGTAGAGTCTATCAGAAAAGTAACGAATGTAATTTTCTGGTGTTAATAAATGGACATAAAATTCAAAATTACTAGAAAATTCCAAAAGATTGGTGCATGTTTCAATTTTGCACTTGTAAGGCAATAAACATTATCTTAGCCATTAAATTTACTGCTTCCTTTTAATTCCATAGTGAAGTTTGGAGATAGATAATTTCTTGCACTCGAAATTGTGTTGTTTAACCCTTTGCAAAAGAATTGTGTTCAGACATGGTTTCCAATTTTGGAAATGATATATCCTAAATATATACTTAGCTGAACCTTTCTTGGTTTTGTACATGAATGATTGCACCCCAAGAAATCTGTGGATTATAGGGAGAGATTGGCAGAATCCTTAAGTTTTTTTACTTTACCAATTATCTCAAATACGCTGTTAACTTCTCTTTAATACACTAATAAAGCTAAAGCGTTACTGTATAAAATGTCCATGATTTGTGTTATGTGTGTTTTTCTTTCTTTTCTTCTTTTAGTTCTTATGGTATAATGTTGTTTTAGTCTTCCAATTTTATTTTATCTATGACAACTTTAATTCTCATAAATTTAATATTTTTTGCAAAATGTTTCCCATCACCACTTAGTGAAGACATGATTTGTATTTTGCCACGTCATCTCAAAATGGTGACTGAAGTGACATGATTAGAAACATTTTTAAAAATTTATGAGGATTAAAATTAGCATATCAGATTCAATTTTATCTTTTTTGGGGTTCTTGCAGCACCAAGAGCTGTTGAAAAAAGTAAAAGCAGGAACTAGGCAATGTCAAGCATCACTCATCACCCTATCCATCTAACTACTTGTGGGGTTAAAAAGCTTTCTAGGCTATGTGGGGGAGCAAACCAAGGCCATAATGGCTTGGAAGCAGTACTTAAAGCATGTTGGAATGGATAGAATTTCATGCTATGATGGCTTAATCATGATATTATTTACTACCTATGTGTTTTGTTGTCTTGACATTTATATTCACTAAGCTTTTTTCATGATTGTCACAACTTATAAAAAACTCCAAGACCTGTCTGTGGGAGGTTCTTATATTCTGTGCTCTCATGTTCCTGATGTGGTGAAGGATTTGTAGTTTGTAAATTACATCATCCTTTCTATGTTTGCAACTTTGTGTGATGAAAAAAATAAAAAATCCTAAGTTGTTATATGTGATGCAACTTCTGTAGTTTTCTTCCTTTTTGTTATTTCTCAAATATCATCCACTTGTTTAAACCAATTTTAGGTGGTAATTAGGGGTTAGCAAAAACTGGACCAAATATTCAGTACTATTATATCATTCTTAATTTAACATTTTCCTTTCATTATTAAAATTTCAATCTATGAAAAACAAAATCAGATATACCATGTTAGGAGTAGTCCTCATGTAACGTGGTAGGTAACGAGTAAATTTTATGACTAATTTTTTTATGAGCTGTTATAAAAAAATTATTTATTGAGTAAATGCTTATTTTAATATCTCAAATCGTAAGATTGTCCGTGATTTTATAAAAACTCTATTTTAGTCAAGTATTTTTAATCCCTCAAATAATCTTTTATTGGAGTTTTATATCATAAAAGATAAAAATAAATATTGTTTTGTAAAATTAAAAACTAAAGTTAAGTATTTGTAAAATAATGAATTAAAGTGATTGATGGATACAATTTGAAGAATTAGAATAAGTATTTATTTTCATTTATGAATATTTATTAAAAAATACATAAAAACTTATAATTATATCGAAATATTAGTAATATACTCTTTAAAACAATCTTTAATATTACCTAAAATTTATTAAATATTTAAAAAATATGAAAAAAAAAAATATCGTAGCATTTGTCATTTTAACATGATATGAAATTTTAACATGTTTGATTTTTTATAAAAAAAAAATTGATTTGTGTTTTTTAAAATAAAATATGGTATAAATTATTAAAAACACTTTTAACCACCACTGCCTCTGGGTCCCAGTTTGTAATCTGGGTGAATATAATATGAGAACCATCTTTTTGTTGTTTTAAAAAATAGCGTTGTGCTTGATGAGGCTTTGCATAGTACTATTGAGATTCTGTGACACTATTGGATATAGTTGTCGGGTTGTTCAGAAACCTAAGCCTATTGCATGTGAAGCTTTTATCATTGCCTGCACTGCACAGCAATTAAATCATCATCTATTCTCACCCTTCTTTACCTCTTCTCTTTTATCAAACCATTCATTTCCATTCTCATTATTAAGCATTTTATTATATTACTTTATTTTAATAGATATTATAATTTTAAAATCTAAATAAATTTTATTGAATACATATTTATAAATATCTACATTATATAAAATTTGATATATATAATCATACAGATAATATAAAATAATTCGTCCATTGAATTCATCAATTTTTCATTGTGTGTAAATATTCAAATATAATATAGTGCATTTAAATTAGATCAACCAGAGCTTTGAAAAAGTAGCAATCTAGCATAAAGAACAACCAAAGTCAATACAGAAACTGAGTAAATTATTAACAGGGGACAAATTTTAGGCATAAATTATTCGTTATAAATACAAAGCTCGCCATAACATTGTAGTACATAACGCCTCTATTATGTATATAATACATACTACACAGTCCAAGTACAGTGTAAAAACCCGACCCAAAAGCTCAAACATGAGTTGGGCCAAGCAGACAAACACAACAAATCCATTGAAGTTCTCTAAACAATTAGTACTGTTTCCATCATGCAACTTAAGATTGCATAATTCTCATTGCTAAATAAATGTGTTATCAATGAAAAAATTGTCACTCACTTTGGTTTTGCTCCACCTTGGCTCTAATCTTCTGCTCCAAAACAGAAATTTCAGTCTCAAGGCTGAACATTCTATTCAAAGCATGCATGTTCTCAAGGGTCTCACTTAGAGTCCTACTATCACTTCCATCACACCTCAAATGTTGCATTGGACCATGAAGCAACTTATTCACTATTCCCCTACTAAGATCATCCACAGCTCTTTGTGTCTTCTTTGTGATATCATCACCCATTTTCCCTAAGCACTTCTCAAGCTCAGCCACCCTTATTCTTTCAGCATATGCCCTTAATTTTTTAATGGTAGGAACAGTTTCCAATGAGTCCCTCCAAGCCTCAAATTGCTTTGATTCTTCACCAATGATTGCTTGAGCTTCCATTGCTTTTCTTAGCCTATCCTCTTTGTTAGCAGCCACAACCTCTTTAAGGTCATCAACATTGAACACTCTCACAGACTCAAGATCTGAGACACATGACCCTACATTCCTAGGCACAGATATATCAATGAAAAAACGTTGGCCACCAACTTCATGGGTTGCATGAGGAAGATCCTTAACATGATCCTTCAGGAACAAGGGGTTCTCTGATGCTGTGCTTGCGAAAACAACATCAGCTTCGCCAATGCATGCAAGCATTTCTGAAAGCGGCTTGTAGATTATCTCAACATCCTTCATTTCTTCACGGATTGCTGCAACTCTCTCCTCACTTCTGTTCACAACCACCATCTTAGTACACCCTTTTGCAACCAAATGCTTGATCACAAGCTTTCCCATTTTCCCAGCTCCAATGATCAACATTCTTGCACTACCATGTGAGGATTCAGGGAGCTTCATCAAGGCCAATTCAACAGCTGCTGAGCTAACAGAAACCGCTCCGGCTGCAATGTTGGTCTCAGTTCTAACCCTTTTACCAACAGTGATTGCATGCTTGAATAGGCCACTGATGTTCCTCCCAAAGCCATTAACTCCTTGTCCAACTTTCACAACTTGCTTCACCTGAGCAAGGATTTGACCTTCTCCCAACACAAGAGAGTCAAGACCCGCTGATACTTCAAAAAGGTGCTGTGTGGCATCTTTGTTGTAAAGCAAAAACTGATGCTGGCAAAGATCTGCCACTGGGATCCCACTTGTCTGCAAAAACAAGAGAACATTGAATGCCTGTTAATGCACTAGAAAAACCCATCTGGGATATAAACTTGGACCAAATAATACCTACTTTAATTCCACAGGTTACATGCACAAGTTGTTTTAATCATTGAATTTACTAAATATAATTTTATTTCCTGATTTTATAAAATAAACTTTTATCTTTAAAATCGTAGTATTAACCACCTTAATTTTTAATATTGTATGACACTAATAATATTAAATAGTACAATTTTTAGTAATAACTTACAATTTATTATTTTTTTATTGTGTCCTTGAACATACATAAAAAAAATTTGTTTTCTGCATAAAAATATTCATTTCATTTTTTTACTTTGTTTTCCACAGTTATTTTATATAAAAAAATTTAAAATGAATGTCATTTTATAAAGTTAAAGATTAAAATGAGAATTTTGTAAATTTAAAACATCCAAGTTTAAAATTTAAGAGAGAAAATGAAAATTTACTTATTAGTCATTAATGTTGGTAGAAAAGGAAGTGAAAAAAGTATTAACCTGACAGACGTTTTGTAGATTCAGGGTAAAAAAGAAAGTAAATGAATCATACACAACACATGATTTTAGAGAGTAAAAATGAAAATTTATAATGAACAAAGTAGAGAGAAGAGGTACTTTTGACATCCATTCGGTGACTTCTTTGACACCACGGTGCTTGGAAAGAGCAACAACATATATCTCCATTCGGTTGCATGTGCTAAGAACAGCTGCTTCTTCAATATGATTCAGACTACAAAGCTCACCAATGGCTCTTGGCCATTCTGCTTCTGGTATTGCTAGTTTCTCTCGCATTTCCACAGGTGTTGTATGCACACTCAGCCCAATAACCACAATGCTACTCCTTTCCTTTGTATACCCTGTTATAGTTCATTTTTAAATCAAGTTAATTCCATTAACTATTCAAAAGTTCCTACTTTTGCATAATTAGCCAATCAACGGCATGTGATTATAGGCTTATAGGTTCTTTCTTTAAAATTTTCTTTATTTTTGGGTATTGAAAATTAAAAGAAAAGATTTAAGGGTTAAAAAGAAAGAAGGAAATGGAGGGAGGAGGATAACAAAATTAAAATAATTGAAAAACATGAGATTAGAAGATTTATTAGAGTTTATAAAAAAATTATCATATTTAAAAACTTTTAAATAAATTATTATCAAATAAACTTTTTTCTTTTTTTCCTTTTCCTCTTGAAAACTTAAAATCTCTTATACTTTATCACCAGTCCTGAAAACTACAACTGCTTGAATGAAACTGCATAAACTATTTAAATTTTGCAAGTTTCACATTATTACTAATTACAAAGAGAGGCAAATGGATTGTAGCCCTGTTTTCTTTTCTTATTTATTTATTTATTGAGTATAACCCTGCGTTTCTTAATTCTTACATCAAATTAAAGACAATAATAATAACTTTTGGTAGATGCAAACTTGACAAAAATAAAATAAAATACAGGTTTAGTTCTTTTAAGAAATATTTATTTATAAATTGGTCAATGTATTAAAAAAATTACATTTTATTTTTCGTACAAGTATGTCGTTATAATAGAATATAGAAATTTTCTGAATCATATAGCATTTTTCTAATAATTTTAAAATGATTAAGATTGAAACGTAATAAAATATTTGTATAAAAGTTGAAATATAAAATCTTTAATGGAAAAATCAATTTGTAATTGAGTACCAACTGTGGCGTATGTATATTATTTAATGTAAGAGATTATAGAAAAACAGGACATAATATGACATAACATATATTCTTTTTCTATATTTGATATGTTTTAAAAATAAAATAGTACCAGTTAAAAGCTCCATTGTGTCAACACCACAAATGAGAATGAAACAGAGCATGCACCAAAAGCTTGATTTTATTCAAAAACCACAAATTTACTGTTCAAAACCAAAATCATTAAAATGTCTTCTACTTTGTGCTTATTTGGCTATGCATTAAAATCATTATCTCATAAGAGTGATCAAAATTAATTTATACACAAATTTCATAAAATTTAAAATGAATTAATTTAACTTTAAACTAAACAAATCCCTTGTCATAAATCTTGAAAACTACTACTACTTGAACGTGTATTTGAAAACACATAACCCTTGAATTCAAATATGCTAGTACTCAATTCCTCAATACGAAAGAAACCCAACAACAGATTAAAAGTAAAAATGAGAACTTTAGTTTAGAGCAATAACAATGGGAATGGGAAAAACAGAACCGTGAATTGAATTACTTACTATCAGCTGCAGAAGTCTTAAGCTGCTGAAGAGCAGAAACAGTAGAAGCATTCTTAGTGGGATCAATCAAAACTTCAGAAGCAGAAGCTTCACAGCGAATAGCCCCTCTTTGGCTCTGAGTAAGTATTTTTCTATTTTTGGCAAAAAGAGATAAATGGGTAGTGGTGACATTGGAGGAAGCACATTTGAGCAACAAAGCCTCCAACTTTGCACCAGAGAAACTGGTTGAAACGGCCATTGTGTAAGCGTTGTTGGGTAGAGTTAATTGGTGCCAAAACCTTTGTTTCTGTTTTGTCTCTTTGGTTTGGGTTTGGGTCTGTGTGGAAATTATGCAAGCGATGTGGCGTAAGGAAAAGGATTTGGACGGATTTCAGAGTGTGATTTCTCTGAGTTCTCATTGGCTGATGCACCACACGTTTTATCCACACTCCTTTCCCCAATCTCCCCATATTATTTTATTAACAATTAAATTATATTCTTTAGATTTTAATTATAATTTTTCAAAACAATAATTTTAGCTCTTACTTTTTAATTCTATTAATTTTAAATGGTAATATGGTAATTTTAAAAAAATTGAATTCATGAAAGATCATAAAAGGAGGTATCTATATATTTTCCTACACACAAAAAATCCATTTTTAGTTGGAGAGACACACCTTAGCATTGGCCTTTCTCTTCGTTCAAATCAAAGGTTGTGGTCTTTCAATTTGTGTAAAATGGTGAAAAGTTATTTGCAAGTGTGAAAAAAATTTTAATGTTAAAATTGAAAGTGATTTAATGTGTTATAGACAATATTTTGACATTGACATGAAATGAAAATTACGTGTAGCACTCAATTAGCAAGGTTTCACCTTTGCTTGGCGTTTATGGTTTGAAAATAAGTGTGCAAAGGAATGTGAATAATGATTGGGGAAATCTAAGAGATGGGTATTGAGATAAGGGAGAAGAGATGGGAGTGTGGATGTGTGGTAGAGATTTGTTTCTTGGATTTCAGGGTATGTGTTGGCCACAACTTTGATGAGAAAGTGTGGATTATAGCAGCTCTTACATTTCAAGGATCATAGTTAAGATTTTAAGGGTTATGTGAATGTGGCCATGATAATGGATATTTCGAATATTGATTATAGAATATGCTAAAGAATATGGATTATAGAGAACTTGTTATCTGAGGAATCAATCTGGGCTTAATTGAATCTGATTTACATTTTACTTTTTACCCTTTATTTTGTCTTAAGAATTAATTTTCATTTGGATCAATTTGGATCTCTGTTTCATAGATTCTTTTAGTAAAAAAGACAAAAATAAAAAAAAATAAAAATACAAATCTGGAAAAGTATTGCCATCACAAATAACTTTCAACCCTAAAACAATGAATTTTTCCTTTACTATTGTTCATGCAAGAATAAGAAGAAAGTTATTTATAGTTTTTTTAATCTTTTGGTTATTTTGTAATTTGGTTTGGATTTTATTAACTTAGAAAAATATGTTACTATGTAGTATTTTATGTTTATCTCCTTCGATGAGTCATATTATGCAATATATAATTTTTTTACTTTCTTTTATTTGGTATTAAAATTTATTTATTTTAATTTTTACGTAGCAAAAATGTTACTGTAAATTATATTTATTTATTTTTCTTCATAATCTTTGTTCAAAATAAAGTTAATTTATAATATTAGTACTTTTTATTTAAAATTAACTAAAAAATTTTATTTGTATTATTTCTTAATTAAAATTTAATTTTTTCTTATATATAAAGAGGCATATAGTAATTTACAGTTAAAAATATTGTTAACTCTTTAATAAGATGCTTAAATTTTTTTTTTTATTTTTCACATTTTAGTATTTTTTTTGTTTTAAGTCTTTTAATATATATATATATATATATATATATATATATATATATATTCCTCTATGTTTCTGAAAGAACCACTCTCTTTGAGGTTTCCATTTCTCAGAGTAGAAATCTTTCCTAAGGGTTTCCTTATCAATAATGAATTTATGTGATAACATCATAAGACTCATTTAAGGAAGAGTAGGTTGGAGATTGGATACTCTGATTTTCTTCTTCTTTTTCAGAAGTCTGATAAACATTTCTAGGAATCCTAGAGGAAGTATCTAAACCCTGAAGATTTATAGAGGGGTCATGATTGACAGTCTTGGGAATATCAGGTCTAATATAAGATCTAGAAGAAAAAGATCTTCTAGCAGAGACAAAGTCAGATCGATTACTGTAAGCGTCGATCCTTGAGGAGAAATAGTTTCTTCTATCAAAGGTTATTTCAACTTTTCCAGAATTATCCTGCGAAATATCTTGTATTTGAGGAGCAGGTCGAGGAATACTGGGTGAGGCTTTATCCATAACCCATTTTTCTAGGAGAGTAACTTCGTCCCACTTGATGATTCTAGGTAGAGAAACGTTGGTCTTTGTCATATCAGTGATAAACAAAGTAGTCTCTCCTTTTTGAGGTTTAAGAAAGACTCTAGAAGCACAAGAGTTCATGACCTTGTACTGAATTCTATAGATAAGAGCTGCGGGAATGGATCCCTCTTTCATGTCTAACCCATGAAAGCAAATGTTAAGAAACAAAGAGTCTAGGATGTGTTCATCCATAAGACTCACTGTCTTGTTGGGAAAACAGTTAAAATAAATCGGTCCTTGACCGAGACTGGTTTCAACTGTTCCTATAAAAGAATCATCAAACTTATTATGACGAATATCTCTTAGACAAATTAAGACAGCAGCATCTATGCCTATGTCTATCAAAGGTTTGATTGCTACCTGAACACATCCTATGTGAAGGTATTTGTATTTTCTTTTGTGATCATTGAGAGAGGATTTAGACAGGAGATGAAATTCTTCTCCTATACCTTTACCTAAGGGGATATTGTTTTCAACAGTCTTGATGATGTAATCAGAACTATTTTTCTTGGGTTGATCTTCAGGAACATATAATGTATCCTGAGGAATAACTGGGATGGTCCAGTCATCCATACTTTGGTTGATTTCTTCGAACCGAACTTCTTCGTCGAAGAGGTTGTGTTTGGGTGTGATTTCAGGAGAATGTTTCTCCTGTTCATCAAAGAGATTGGTTTTTGTGGGACAGGAAGAAGATGAACTAGGGCCAGAACGGAAAGAAATGCGGGAAAAAGAACGTAAAAGTTTAGACATAATAAAATACTTCTAGCACATCACCTTCATCTGGTTCCGTAACAATATATCTGTTAATTATTCATAACTTGTTCGACTGGATCTGGTTATTTGGACTTTTTTTTTTTTTTTACATTTACAAATTCTGAAGTCCTTTTACTATAGTCACCAGCTTCTTCTGTTCTTATTTTCTTTTGAATACAGCATCGTCAAATTAGTCTTACTGCCCTTTCATCCACATGGGTCTTACTGCTACAGCCCTATTCAGAAGAACTAAGAACTGTTGTACTTCCAGTAAAAGATTTTCATAAAAAACTGTACATAAACAATATTTCAGAACTATTAGTTCGTGGCATTGTTACAGACAGGGACGACCATTTCTGGTCTCACCCGAAGGGCCTGTCAGCTGTCCAGCCTATAAACCATAGTTACAGAAATTTCATAAAGAAATTTAAAGTCCAGATCCAGAAGAACACAGCTACAAACAATTAATAGTTATATTCCTACTTCCCCATCAGGCTCTGATACTAGATAACCCTTGGTGGATCAAGGAAACAGAAAATAAAAGACTGAAAGGAAAGTAGGCAGTAGCAGGACTACTAACTAATTATAATGAATGTAAAATGCAGGATGTAAAAGTCAGGAATCAAAACATAAGAAACTAGAACGGCAGTGGAACCAGCACAGATCTAGTAGAGGGAGAAGAGAAGAAAGCTGGACGACGGTAGTCCGAATAGAATCGGCTAAGAGGGAGAAGAGAGGAAAATAATTTAAAACAACAAACTTTTATTGAAAAGATCTCAAAGAGGAAAGCTTACAAAGGATTGTTTCTCTTAGAGCTTCTCTCTCTAAATCTCTCTAAACTTGCTTAATAAAAGGGTGCCTCACAATATGGTCGATGACTCCTTTTAAAGAAAATTTTTAGTACTATTTCTACAGTTCCGGTTGGTAACTGGAACTATTAACTACAGTACTAGTTTTAAAGATCTTGGATGTCAATGCCGAAGCAGTCATCTTCATTTTGATACATTTCTTCTATATTGGTATCTTGTTTTGTAGAAGATTCTCCTTCTTCTTGGATTTGTAAGAGAAGAAGAACATCTTGCAAATTTTTCTTCATTTTTTCTTTTGTATCGCAACTTGATAAAAATGCTGCAATTTTAGATTTCTGGTTTAGGAACTGAAATGTTGCCGGGTCTGCTAAGTTTAATAATTTTGGATTCTTGCCAAAATATTCAGCAACACCTTCTGGACCAGCATGGTCGGCATTGAATTGATTCCACCATTTCACAAAGGAATATCTGTGAAGTAATGGAAGAGTGTCTTCATTTTCTGTTTTGCCATATCTATATTGCCATGAGAATACCCATGCTAAGGCAAAGTCAGAGAAGTATTTGAGGTCTGCTGGAATTCTTGATTCTCGCAAATATCTACCCTTGTAGATTCTGTATCCTTCTTTGACTGATGTAGGAAGAATTTCTTCGATTGGCCCAAAATAGTCCCACCATTGGAGAAACCAATTTGGAAAATCATAATTCTGATTCTTCTTGAAATATATTAACCAAGAATGTTGGTTAAGCTTATTTTGGAACCAGAAAGTTCTTGTCCATGCATCTATGTAATCCCAGTAATTATATCCTACTGGGTCAAAAGGTTGGAAAAACTTCTTATAAGAGTTCAGATTTTTCCCAAAAGCTTTTGGGGTTAAGACTTTTAAGATCTGGATTGTGGAATGGGTTGTGATTGATGGATCTTTTTGGTCTTTATAGTGTTTAATGGAGACGGAATCTGAATCCACTAAGATAAACTCATAGAATTGCCTGATTTTATTTGCCGTATAAGGTCTAAAATGAAATCCAGGTGGAAAGACTTTGGTAATAGCTTTGTACGGGTTTCTATCCCAAAATTTGGGTTCCATTTGTATGACTGAGGAAAATTTTCCTTTGGCCACATAATGGTTTGGATTAGTGGATTTTTGTTTTCCCTTTTGAAGGTCAAGGGTCCCTTCTGTTTTACTTGGATTGACTATTGTTTTCTGGGTTTGATTAAAAGACTGGAGTATGGTGTTTAGGCTTGCTAAATCTATTTCGATGTCTTCTTCAGAGGCAATGTCAGCCCATGATTTTTTTGGTAGACTACTCAAGCTTCCTTGTTGGACAGCTAGGAGTGTGCCAATTGGGAGAGCATAATCTGCTTTGGTTTGTTTTGTAGTTTTAATAGAAGAATCGGTCTTTTTGGAAGATTCTTGTGGAGTTCCAGATTGCTGTGT